TTTGAAAATTAGAAAAGAATAGTAGTACAAAACAAACATTCATGCCAAAAATAATTATATTTGTTTTTATAGGAGTAAAAATGACACTTTTTGGTGGCGAGGCTGGAGGGAAGAACCGTTTAGTTAGTCCGACATACAGCCGAGGCACAAAAAGTCAATGAACGTGCTATTTTTTTCAAACGCCACAAATAATTTTTTAAACAGTTTCTCAAACGTTCCAAATAATATAAAAAGATTTAAGTTATACCTTGTATGTAATTATATATCAAGAAACCATAGTTACGCTCGTTGAATTTGACACTTTATGTCAGTTTAATACATAGATAAATGAAACAAGTTTAGATTGGAAAGTGCCCATAAGGACAATGTAAACACTATTTGGCGCTATTCTTGCAACGGTCGCGACCCAAAACTTTTTAAAATTTCGGAGCGGTTCGGCTTTTTCCGGAATTATATCGCCAAATATTGTTTATTCAAATTTATTATTATTTTCGTTTAATTTTATAAATAAAAGACAGTGTGTTGCATACAAGAAACTTTATTTTATATAAGGACGCATGTATGAAATACCTATAAAACATTGGAAACCGACGTTATGCCACGATCTACGATGGTTTTTGCAGTTCACAGTTCACAGCATAGGTTTTTAAGTTTTTAATGCCACTTTTTCACAATTATCACCGGTTAGAGTAAATAAAACTTGAAATAAACTCACAAGATAGCAATTATTACTTTGAAAATGGACGCTATAAACACTTTTCGGAATTTCTTTAATGAGAGTGGTTTAGATTTTGAAAGATTATTATGATTTTTGAAGATTCTGACTTTGACAAGAGAAAATTATTTCTGTTTTTGTTTGCCGTTGTTCTTAGCGACCGCTATAGCAGCGCCAGATCGCGTATAACGGTCGCGACCCAAAATAATTTCGCGACCCAAAATTTTTACGGGCTTTCCAATCTAAACTTGTTGCATTTATCTATGGTTTAATATATTTTCGTACTTTTATGCTTAGGCGTTAAAATTTTTTTATATTGTTAATCACGTCGCAAAAATTAATACTTTTGTGACGTTTGAAAAAAAATATATATTATGCTAAACTTCAAACTAGATTCAAAACATTTGCCACTATATGTATTATATTATATTTAATGATATTTCACAGAAGTTGAAAATTTAATTTAATGTACTCCAACCTGAAAACTACCAATGCCCACATATTAAATAAAAAGATGAAATAAATAAAAAATAAATATTCAATGAAACTGCCTACTTATTCTTTCTTCTGCATGCTATTCAGAGATTGTCATATTGTTATCACTTTTCATATACACAAATCGGTAATCGCTAATCACAAATCGCTCTTTGCGAACGATTACAAAAATGGCGTCCGATTACCAATCGTCGATTAGTCATCGGAAATTTAGAGGTGCGTTCAGCACATGATCAATAATCGATTACTAATAGAGGACGTCTGCTGAATGCTGCCATTATATTGTTTTGTTAGGAGTAAAAATGACACTTTTTGTGGCCAGGCTCTTGATGGACTAAGGTTAGTTAGTCCGACATACAGCCGAGGTACAAAAAGTCACTAGAACGTGCTATTTTTTTCAAACGCCACAAATAATTTTTTAAACAATTTCAAACGTTCCAAATATAAAAATATTTAAAAGTTATACCCATAGATAAATGAAACAAGTTTAGATTGGAAAGTGCCCATAAGGACAATGTAAACACTATTTGGCGCTATTCTTGCAACGGTCGCGACCCAAAACTTTTGAAAATTTCGGAGCGATTCGGCTTTTTCCGGAATTATATCACCAAATATTAGGTCTGTTCGTTTTCCTGTTATTATCGATTCTGAATCGTCCTAGAACTCTCCAGCGCATGCGCAAAAGAAATAATTTCTTCATATTTCCTTCTGCGCATACGCATCACAATTCTAGGACGGTTCAGAATCGGTAATAACAGGAAAACGAAAAAAGGTATTGTTTATTCAAATTTATTATTCTTTGCTTTTAATTTTATAAATAAAATACAGTGTGTTGCATACAAGAAACTTTATTTTATATAAGGATATGTATGAAATACCTATGAAACATTGGAAACCGACGTTATGCCACGATCCACGATGGTTTTTGCAGTTCACAGTTCACAGCACAGCTTTTTAAGATTTTAATGCCACTTTTTTACAATTATCACCAGTTGGAGTAAATAAAACTTGAATTAAACTCACAAGATAGCAATAATTATTTTGAAAATGGACGTTATAAACACTTTTCGGAATTTCTTTAATGAGAGCGGTTTAGATTTTGAAAGATTTTATGATATTTGAAGATTCTGACTTTGACAAGAGAAAATTATTTCTGTTTTTGTTTGCCGTTGTTATTAGCGACCGCTATAGCAGCGCCAGATCGCGTATAACGGTCGCGACCCAAAATAATTTCGCGACCCAAAATTTTTACGGGCTTTCCAATCTAAACTTGTTGCATTTATCTATGAGTTATACCTTGTATGTAATTACATATCGAGAAACTATGGTTACGACGCTCGTTGAATTTGACATTTAATGTCAGTTTAATAATATATTTTCGTACTTTTATGCCTAGGCGTTAAAATTACTTTTTTATATTATCAATCGCGTCGCAAAAATTAATACTTTTGTGACGTTTGAATAAAAAATATACAGGGTGCTACAAATTCGAGGCACGAGCATTGGTATCTCGGAAACAGTAAGATTCGAAGATAGTTAAATTGGGGCAAAGTTGCTCCTTGGGATGTTCACCAACATGCTATCAAAGAAGTTTCAAAAATTTCACTGATTGGTGAGCTTTTTCAGAAAAACGGATTTTTTTGAAAATCAATTTTATTTTTTCCTGTCGTTACTTTTTAGAAAATTAAAAAACTAATTGCACACTCTCATAGCCACTTTATTAGGGCTATCTGATAGTATTTTTAGATTTTCAAATTAGCTGATAATTTGTGAGATACAGAGCTCAACTTGATTTTTTTAAATACGGACCTGCATTTTTTATTTGAGGTTTTGAAATAATTCGGCCTCCTGAGTACAATGATATGCCACACTTAATATTTTTTTATCTTTCGGACATTTGAACACAATTTATTTAAACTAATTTTAAGTCCGGCTCTGTTTTTTTCTAATATTAAATATATTCATCGTTACAATACTGATAATCTTTCAAACTTAACAATGACAAGGGGTAAAACATTAAATACGGAAAATCAAATGCAATAAAGTAATAAAAAATGATATAAAATAAATAATATAAATATAATATAAACAATCAAATCATTTCGCTGGAAGATGGATTGGAAATGGTAGAACAGTATAATATGCCAGCAAGGTTCCTGTCCTCCATAAGAAGAAGATATGTTCAAAGAGCTTTAAATAAGATTGAACGAAAAATAAATTTGTGCATTAGGGAGGGTTGTAACTTGTAACCCTTTCGAACGTATAGAGCATTAGAAACTAGTTTGTAGAAGTTGATATAGTTATAATAACTATGGTTAATATTATGCATATTATTAGACCATACACTGAGATTTCAAATTCATTGAAAAATTGAGAAAAGTTAAAAATAATATCTTTAAATTGCTGACCTGGATATATTTATTTGAATCTTTCAATTTTTCTCGATTTTCCTTATTTAATTTTAATTAGCGCTGATCAATATTATTGCGATGAATATAATCAGATTAAATAATTTAAAAAACCAGAGTTGGACTTGAAATTATTTTAAATAATAATTAAATAGTTTTGTTGTTGTTAAGGTACCCAAAACAAAAGAAAAGTGTCAAGTGTGGCATATCACTTTACTCAGGAGACCGAGTTCTTTCAAAACTTAAAAAAAAATGCAGGTCCGTATTTAAACAAATTAAGTTGGCCTCTGTATCTCACAAATTATCAGCTAGCAAGTACAATCTACAAGTTGAGCGTTTACATACTCGCCCAGTGGGTACCGAGTGGGCGTGGCAAAATCTAGCCAACCGAGTCAGAGCCCACTGAGCGTAACAGTTAGATTTCCGCCACTAGAGTAGTAGGAACAAAGAACTTGAAGGAATTGGACCGTTGTCTCTGTTCATACTACCTTTACATTTATTAATTCTGATGCTTTCATATGCATGTAAATATTTTTCGATACCGTTTGATCGAGAGTTATCCCGTGGTCTAAAAGGAATTTTTAAGAATGTCAATTATAAACTTGTGTATAGTGCTAATAATAAATTACAACAATTATTAGGTAATCCAAAGGATAAAACACCTCCACTGGAAAGGTCGGGTATTTATGAAATTTCTTGTAAAGATTGTAATCAGAAATATGTTGGCCAAACTAGAAGATCAATATTAACTAGATTTAAAGAACATTTAGCTCAGATAAGATATGGTAGACCGGATAAATCTTGCGTTGCCGAACATATTGTTGATAAAGACCATTGTATAGATCTTAATAATTTAAAATTAATTAAACAAGTCTCAAATTACAGGCAATTAGATGCACATGAAAGCATCAGAATTAATAACTGTAAAGATAGAATGAACAGAGACAACGGTCCGATTCCTTCACGTTCTTTGTTCCTACTACTCTAGTGGCTGAAATCTAACTGTTACGCTCAGTGGGCTCTGACTCGGTTGGCTAGATTTTGCCACGCCCAGTCGGTACCCACTGGGCGAGTATATAAACGCTCAACTTGTAGATTGTACTTTAGTTTATAATCATCTGCTGATGATGCTAACATGGTTAGCGAAACGCGCGTCCAGTGTAAAAGTAAAAGTGTTTTGGTGTATTGTGGTGATTTAGTGTTTTTATTTTGCCGCAATAAAGTGGCTATGAGGATTGGCAATTAGTTTTTTAATTTTCTAAAAGGTAAAGACAGGAAAAAATAAAATTGATTTTCAAAAAAATCCGTTTTTCCCAAAAAACTCAGCAATCCTAGAAATTTTTAAAACTTTTTTGATGGCATCTTGGTGAACATCCCAAGGAGCAACTTTGCCCCAATTTAATCATCTTCGTATCTATTACGGTTTCCGAGATACCAATGCTCGTACCTCGAATTTGTAGCACCCTGTATTATGCCAAACTTGAAACTAGGTTCAAAACATTTGCCAATATATTATATTTAATGATATTTCACAGAAGTTGAAAATTTAATTTAATGTACTCAAACCTGAAAGGGACCAATGACCACATATTAAATAAAAAGATGAAATAAATAAAAAATAAATATTCAATGACACTGCCTACTTATTCCCTCTTCTGTGAAATATTTTTAGACTAGCAAAAACCAATAAAAAATAAGGATGACTTTGTGCAACCAAATTTGCTTATATTATTCTTTGTTTTATTTTGTATAAAAAGTCTAGTATCAACTTCTTAAAATAAATTTCATAAGTCAATGAACACATCGAAGCTCAAAATATTCAATATTTAAAAGAAATGAGACACCCAAAAAATTCTTAGACATTCACTCAGAACAGCATTCGTAACTATTTTTATGTACACACACTTATAAATATCTAAACAGCCTATCTACAATGAAATCTCTTCAGGATCACTAAATGCTCCAATTCTGTTATGGACATCGACCGACCTCACCGCAAAATAATACTTGTTTTTATCCGCGAACTGAGTTAATGTACAAGCCATTGGTAACGCCAATGCTTTCACATCACCCACTTTACGCCACATATCCGTATTAGGGGGCGCACTTGTTTCTTGATATGCGTATAACTGATAGCTGGCAATGTTCTCGTATAAGCTTAAATTATAGGGCATTTTCCATTGAAGAATTATACCAATGTCGATTTTCTTAATGGTCAGATGGGGTTTGGGTAACAGCGGTTTCAAATTACTATCGATATTTATTCGAGGAACTGGCGGTAGAGGTGCCGGATGCTTTTTTCGAACACTCGGAACTGTTTTTAGCGTCATCGTCTGGCCTTGTTTATTTGACATTACAGACACTGTCTGACCATTCAATGCAGCAGCTATGAAAACAAAAAGAATGATAATTTTACTTATAATCACAGAATACCTAGCTACGCAACAGAAGCCTCGTTACATGTATAAAATCGTAGGTCTCAAAAGGAGACAGGCTTTTAAAGCCTGTCTCCAAATCAGATATTTTGATGCGGTAGTTTCGCTATTACATAATAGAGGGCGATAAATTTAAAAGAAAACAGTTTTCTGCAAACGAAATTTAAAAGAATTTTATGCAGTGTTGCCATTGTGTAATTTATATTGTAATACTTCCTGATAAAGCCTACCTTCAAATTTGCTACATCATTTAAACATATTAAAATAGATCAGAGTTCTTTTTTCAAACGTTTAAGTATTTAACTTGCCATGTTAGTTGGAGTTAAATCTTACGAGCTGAATTAAAATCGCTTCCTGACGTTTGATTCTAACTGAATCCTGAATTTTTATTGTAATTCGGCGACAATATAATTATTAAGTATTGTTCTACTATTATGACACCACTTCCTGACGTTCGATGGTGTTCATACCGTGTGATCGGGAAAACACGGCGTTAGCGATGGCTATGAAATGAAAATCGCTGTCATTTTATGTGTAAATTTATATGGGAAATGTCATCGATCGTCTTTTCCCAGCCAACTGGACGCCGTTTTTTTCGGTATCAGACGATATTTGATATATACTTGCGTATTTTTCATGACATTGCAATATTATGGTACCATGAAGCATATCAAGTGATACCGTAATATAGTACCATATTACGATACATGGCGTTCGATTGGGCTTAAACTTGGTATATTACGTATCTTCAGTGACATTGTAATATTATGGTACCATGGAGCATATAAAGTGGTACCTTCTATAGTACCATATTATAATATCACTTCCTGACGTTCGTTTGGGCTCATATTTGATATATACTTGCATATTCTTGATGACATTGCAATATTATGGTACCATGAAGCATATCCACCATAATAGTACCATATACGATACCATTTCCTGGCATTCGATTGGGCTTAACTTGGTATACTACGTATCTTCGATGATATTGCAATATTATGAAGCACATCGAGTGGTACCATAATATAGTACAATATTATGATATCATTTTCTGGAGTTCAATTGGGCCCAAATTTGATATATGTACTTGCGTTTCTTTATAAAGATTTGTTTAATTAATAATTTTAATTTATTTTACGAATTTTAATTTATTGTACGATGTCGTGACAGCAACTTTTATGCCGAACTAATATATTATTAATTGTACCTGTGTACTTTTTAAAATCTACCTAGGTCTATATAAATAACGTGGCAAATAGAAAAAAATTGTTATTATAGTATTTTTTTAGTCAATTAATATTTTTGTACTGCATTTTAATAAATTATTTCCATTATAATTAAACGTATATTTCATTACTAACGTTTCAGCATTAATAAATATCACTATCAAACGCCCTGTATATTATTAATTTCAAAAGTAATTAAAATTATTTTAACATAATAAAGTTTCGTTCACAAAATAGTGTATATTAAAAATGTATGTTTTCTAATAATAAACTTAACACTATTTTAAAAGCCAAACGAATAATTAATATAAGTGTATCTGACAAGAAACGAAGAATAGAAAGAAATTATTATACACCAGAAAAAGAATGGGATGCCAATTAAAGTCTTTTTGAATCTGGCAACTGTGCATATTTAGCCGAGCTTCAAGACCGTCGACATGCAGTCGATCTACGTCGATTCAAAACCGAAAGTTGAAAATTTCCAATTATATTCTGATTATGATATTGTCGCGCCATCTAGTATTTTATTTGTGCAATTTTAGCTCTTTCATTTCGAGTATTTTTCTGTTGCGTAGCTAGATATTCTGTGTTATAATGCAGTAATAAATTTCGACTTACATAGTACACCACTAGTAGGTTGGAAATTTACAAAAGCAACTTTTTGTGTCCCCCCAGTACTCGAAGAAATAGTTGGCACAACATACAGCATTTGAGGTGAACCATTTGCGCTTGATGTTATAACAGAGCCAGGAGTTAACCTAATACCTAAGAAAAACATTTATTTATAATCCTTTCAAGAGTTAATTTTGTATCATTCTTACTTTGAGGTATACTGGTATTTTTATTTGCACTGACGGTAACTGATTTTGCTTGAACTCCAACCTGTTTACCCTATAACAAGAAAATTTCAGTTTCAGTTCAAAGAAAGAAAAAAATACATTTATATATACCTGACTAATTACTGTTTTGCCAGATAGAGATTTATTGACAGTTACAATTGGTTTTGGAGTAGTAGTTACAACTGGTTTAGTAGTAACAAGTTTTATAGTATTATTTACAGCTTTATTAGCTGCCAATTTTTCATCTTCGTCGGTTAAATCTGAAATATAATATAAAATAGATGTGCGAGTTATATACAAATTAAATTAATCTCACCTATAACTCCAGGATTGGAAGGTTTAGGAGGTTCAGGTGGTTTTCTGACCGGTGTAGTGGTTCTCTTGGCAACTACTGGTGATCTTTTGGAGGGCTGAAGTAACGCTTGAGTAAGTAACTGACCTCCAGTTACAGGCGAGGCAACTGATTGGGTAGTCGATATTGATTTTTGAGGCGAACTTTGAACTATCTGTAATTTTGATAAAGAAAAATATACAGGGTGGTCCGAACTTTATTCCGGAAACTTCGGCAGCATATTTTGCAGATAAAAATAAGTAAAAAAGTTCGTATAAATGTATGTCTTAAAATGCTTCCCAACAAGCAAAATTTATTGCTGGAACATTGCCAAAACTTCGCAAAGCAAGGTGTAACATTGCTTTTTTCATTGTAGGGAGGTTTATGCAAGGTTTCGGGGTAACTTAATCTTCCGCCTAATTCCGTAACATTGCAGTGCAAGGTTGCATTTCACAATATTATTGAAACGTTGCTAACGTAACGTTCAAGAAAGTACTAATTTGGGATGTATTAGCAATATTGTTAATTTTACGTCAATACAATATTACGTCTTGAAATGCTTAGTTTCGGAGATACAGGGTGTAGAAGTTTCATTTTTATTGTGATTTTTTTCAAATAATTTCTGAAGTGAGGTCAATATTTGGATGAAAATTGATGTCTTGGGGTTTTTTGACATGAGAAATTTGATTTTGATGTCAATATGACCCCTACTTGGGGGGCACCACCTACATACATGTGTTTTAACTGTTTTAAAGAGTAATAACTTTTCGTCCGTACCTGTATAAAACTATTGAGTGAAAAATATACATTTCCGTGATTTTTTTTACGTAAAACATGTCTCTTGGTAAAAATCAGTATGAGCAACCGTTCTCAAGATATTTGGAATACATATCATTATTGACAAAAAAATAAACATGTTGAGTAGATAGTTATTTGACTGAAATGGTAAATTTGGGAACTTTTTATTTTTTTTTAAATTAATAATAGTTTTTTCTTCGAAAAATGATAAAAGAGTTCTGTTGAACTGTTGGCACAAAAATATTTAAAATTTATTTCAGTCTAGTAACTATTTAGTCAACATGTTTAATTTATGTCGATGACAGGTATTGATAATTTCGATTCCAAATATCTCTAGAATCATTACTCGTAGAAATTTTTACCAAGAGGCCTTTTTTACGTAAAAAACGTCGAAAATGTATATTTTTTACTCAGTAGTTTTATACAATAATAACGTTGTCCACTGTGGACAACGTTATTATTGAAAACGTAGACCATTATATATATTTAGGTCATAAAATCAAGCTGGGCAAGGAAAACCAAAATACGGAGATCAAACGCAGGATCCATTTGGCATGGGTAGCATTTGGAAATATGAGCGATAAAAAGGGGCCCATCAACCTAAAGAAAAAGGCTTACGACAGCTGCATTCTACCTGTGCTTACGTATGGCTTAGAGACTATGGCAATTACTCGAAAAACAGCAGAACAACTACGAGTAGCACAAAGAACCATGGAAAGAATCATGTTGGGAGTCACCATTAGGGAAAAAATACGGAATACCCACATACGTCAAAAAACAAAATTAATAGATGTCGTTAAAAGAGTGGCAAGTCTGAAGTGGCAATGGATAGGACATGTGGCAAGACAGGATCCAGACCGATGGCCCCAAAAAGTAATCCTATGGAGACCTAGGGGAACAACAAGAAGTGTGGGCCGACCAAAAAAGAGATGGGTCGATGACGTCAGGGCAGTGGCGGGAAGACAATGGATAAGATTGGCTAGAGATCGCGAAGCATGGAAAAACCTAGAAGAGGCCAATATCCAACACTGGATGGAACCAGGCTGAGAAAGAAGAAGTTTTATACAGGTGCGGACGAAAAGTTATTATTTTTCAAACTAGTTAAAAAATATGTAGGTGGCGCCCTCTAGAAGTACGAGTCATATTGACATCAAAATCAAATTTCTTATGTTAAAAAACTCCCAGATACCAATTTTCATCCAAATATTAACGTTACTTCAGAAACTATTTGAAAAAAATTGAACTAAAAATGAAACTTCTACACCCTGTATCTCCGAAACTAACCCACCAAGCAAAAAACCTCACATTACATTTGCAACATTGCAGTCAATCCCCAAACAGTTTGCTTTGTAATGTTGATTTCTAAACGTTGTGTCGTGATTGATGAAACCTTGCTACAGAAACATTGTTTTTGAATGGTGATTAAAACGTTTTTTCTGCAACATTGCAACAAAGATTCAAATGAAAGATCCACGCAAGTTTGATATTAAATTAATATGAAAGATCCAGTTAATATTAATAATATAACAAATATACCATAGGATCGAAAAAAAACGGCGTCTAGTTGGCTTGGAAATGAATATTGATGACATTCCCCATATAAAATGACAGCGATTTTCTTTTCATAGCCATCGCTGACGTCTTTTTTTTTCGATCATACGGTATAAGTTAGGTTACGTTAACGCACTTGTTTTTTTACGTTTTTGGTATCACATTTTATGCTTTTCGAATGAGATTTTAATGAATGTAAATGTAAGTATAATTTTATTATGTGTGATATATATAAGTATAACAAATTTTGTTTAGTTTAGTTTGTTTTTAAGCTAAATTTTATGTTTTAGGTTAGCTTTTAGCCAACTGAAGATTGACGTAGATAAAATCAGGATACGAGTATATCAATCTAATGATAAAATCATAAATAATATTCAGTATTAATTATTCTCAATATTTTTTTAATGATGTTATAATCATTTGAAATTTTATAAAATAAGGACATAAAGGGACCTCAAAGATTACTGTCACAAGAGGTAAGTTTCTCATTGCTTTTTATTTATTACAACTGATTGTTTTTATTTTTACAACTTTAGAAATGATTGGATATAGATTTCAAAACTTTACCGAAAAGGAATTTGAAACCATGAATAAGACAATTCAACATGCGAAGACAAAATGTGAAAGATCCAAAAAATCAATTAAATATAAGTTTGCTTTTCCTTCTACATACATTTAATGTTATACTTTCCTTTTGTATTTTTGAATAAGAAATATAAAATAATGTTTATACTGTACCTATATATTTTGTATTATTTCAGACATTCAACTTCAAGATTTTTTTTTAGAAATTCGACTCGGAGGTCAGAGTTGAGTAATTCCTTATTTAATGAGCAGCCGAAAAGATCAGTAAGTTCTCAGTACTTGACAGTATTTTTGATATTTTTGAAACAAGTAAGTGATAAATTTCTAATTTTTGTTTGTTTTTTTTTTCAATTTGTTTGACAAATTCGAATTTCTTGGTAGGGATATATTTACCGAGCATTTTTAATTTTTCTAAGTCAATGGATATAGAGATATACCTACATATTTTTATCAATACTGTTTATGTTTTTCGTCAATACAATATTAGTAAAAGTATATTATACCTATATGAAAGTCCACAATTTAATACCCATTAATGTTTCTGTTGATTATAACTTATTACTGATGTATTATTATTAACATAAAATTGCTAATAATGTTCGCAAGAAAAAACTGTTTCATTAATTGATAAGTTAATATTAAAAAATTATTTTTATATTTTGCCTCTGATGAATGAAATGGTTTTTTAATGCAAACATTATCTATTTTTTGCTATATTACTTTAGCAATAAGTCAGTTAATTATAATTAATAATATAATTTTACCAATATTGTATTGACATAAAATTAACAATATTGCTAATATATTCCAAATTAGTACTTTCTTGAACGTTACGTTAGCAACGTTTCAATAATATTGTGAAATGCAACCTTGCACTGCAATGTTACGGAATTAGGCGGAAGATTAAGTTACCCTGAAACCTTGCATAAACCTCCCTACAATGAAAAAAGCAATGTTACACCTTGCTTTGCGAAGTTTTGGCAATGTTCCAGCAATAAATTTTGCTTGTTGGGAAGCATTTTAAGACATACATTTATACAAACTTTTTTACTTATTTTTATCTGCAGAATATGCTGCCGAAGTTTCCGGAATACAGTTGGGACCACCCTGTATATAAATAATTACATATAAAAATGAATATATGAACTGAGTGGAATGTATAGGGAAATCAATAAAATTTGGCGTCCATGTCATGACGTGGTTTGTATAATAGTCTGATATAAAAACATATTTGTATATTGTATTTAAAATTGAAGCAAAAAATCAGTGACAAAATTAGTATTTTCCTTGACGCTTGAATGCACTAAATAAATTTTCATTACCTGTCTCACAACCGGTTTCTGCTGAGGGGATGCTTTTTGTTTTAGGAGCGAATTGCTAAGAACAACTTGCTTTGGAGGAGTGTTAGGGACTGACTGTCTTTTCCTAACCTGAGTTACTGCTTCATTACCAGGATTCAGTCTTACTTGTAAGCCTACTGATCTTGTAATCTTTAAAGGTACTAAAGGTTTCTTCTGCACTGTTTGTGCTCTTAAGTCATTCATCAATTTTTTATTTACAATATCTAAATCTCTTGATTGCTTAACTAATTGTTGAAGGTCTTTTCTCAAAATTTCAATTGTCTTTTCCTGTTTTTTAATGGTTTGGTGGAGCTCACCTTCAGTACTTTTCAACATTAGACTTTCACATATTTTTTGAATACAAAACTGTTCTAAATCAGATCTAGATAGCTTAGCTGTCAATTTTCGACACTGCATGAACTTGGAAAATGCTGTTAATGTCTTTGTATTGTTTCTCAGAGTGGTAAATTCTTCTGTCTTCTCAGATTCTGGTTTATTATTATTCACGGAGATGTCAGTTACCTCATTTGTGGATTCTACATCAGTTATCGAATCGGCAAGTTTTGGTTTCTTGGCAATCAATTCATCCTGATCAGTATCATTTGCCGAGAGAGATCTTTTACCAGACTTTGTTTGAACTACAAATTAAAAAATTTCGTCAATGCAAAAACTACGAATTTTGGTTTCCATAAAAACAGTACATTTTCAGCCACAAGTAAGTACCGTATGATCGAAAATAAACGGCGTCCAGTTGGCTTGGAAATGAAGGAGAGAATTTGATTAAGGTTGCGTAGAACCACTTAGCGACCATCTCGGAAATGAAAATGAATGATATTCCCCATATAATTTGACATACAAAATGAAAGCGATCTTCATTTCATAGCCAGCGCTGACACCGTTTTTCTTTCGATCATATTGTGTTATCTCACAAACGGATCTGAAGCAGCGACAGGAATACGAGCAAAAAAATCGATGCTGTTTAAAGTAAAATAATATTAAAAAATATACTGAAAAATATTTTAAAAATTCATAATATATTTTCGTAAAACACCGCACGCCTCTGGATGTTTTATGAAAGAAATCAGTCATGTTTTTAGAAGACTGCGTGTCCCTTACCGTTGCCCCGTTCTTTCAGATTCATTTGTTAAACTGTAGTTCACTAATAATGCTGATTAAAGATATTCCAAATTCCAATATAATGTTATAATAAATTTTATCTTACCTTGACTAGTATTCACTGCTTTGGAACCTTCTAACCCTTTTTCAGAAATCTCATCTGATTTTACAATTTCATTTGTTGTTGTGCTAATTTCTTTCTCAGTTATATCATTATGAGTATCAGTCTCAATTAAAGTTAAATCTGCATTATTAGGAACTTCTTTATTAGAAGAACCATCATCAACAATGTTTGTTTCTTCAGGTTCTGACACAACTGCCTCTATTTCCATTTGATCATCTATAGTATCTTCGCTGGCAACAGCAGAAGATTTTTCGTGGCTTTCTGTTTCAACTACTGTATTCTGCAATTCTGTATTCGAATCTGTTTGGCTATCTGCATCATCAGTATCAACGCTAAGAGATAATCCTGAATGACTATCTTCATCATTTATTTCTTCAAATCCTGAGTGCTCATTATCAAAATCATTATCATGTTCCTTGTCCCCATCACTACTTATTTGTTCAGTCTCAACCCTATCATTCGATTCTTCATCAGACTTCTCAATTACTGAATCCTCCTTAGCTTCTTCTGCATCGGCATCTTCCTGTATAGCATCTGCTCTAGCACACGCATCATCTTCTTCCGTTTCACGAATCATAGAGATATCAAGTAGGTCAGAGTCATCTTCCTCGGGTTTTTCGCTGGGTTTCTCACATTCTTCCATTTTTGTAGAATCTGATTCAACATGTAAATTATTTTGTTGTTCTGGAACTTTAAAAACTTCGTTGCTATTTAATTTATCTTCGATTACGTCATCCTCTTTTGGAGAGTTAATGGTCTCATCTAATTGCTTCAATAAGTCATCAGTAGAAGCTCTTTCATTATCGCTTGTAGAAATTTTACTGACTTCGGTGTCCTGTTTATTGCTGGCAGATTCGGTTTCAACGGAAATTGGCTGTTCCGTTTCGCCTAAATTGTCAGTATCCGTGACATGTAAGGAGTTAGACGCATTTGTCTCGTCTACTGAATCTAGATGGTTATCCGTCTGACTTAAATTGTCAGTATCAGTGACATGTAAGGAGTTAGACACATTTGTCTCGTTTACTGAATCTAAATGGTTATCTATTTTTTCTATATCATTTTCAGTCTCTTTGCCATCAGAACAATTAGTTTCCATAGCATCACCAACTTCTTCTTGGGAATCACATATTTCCATAGTTTTGGATTCCTCATTATTTTCCTCTTCCTTATCTACATGGAATTCTGTTTCATAAATACTTCTGAATTCTCCATTGCTATTTGTCTCGTATTTTCCAAAATCAAATGATAATTTTACTTCAGTTGCTGATAATTCGTTTTCCTCTATGTTTTGTTTATCTATTATGCTAACAGACTTATCATGATGCTCTTCTTCAATGTCATTTAAGATTGTTTCATCGTTTTGTTCTGATGCGTCTACACAATCTCCTTCAAACTTATTTAATATGTCATCTTCAGTCTCCTCACTTTGTAATTCTTTATCTCTTCCGTTTGAAATTATTGATTGAGCTAAAACGAATCAATAAATTATTACTAAATGTTATAGAACTACAAAAAAAAGTAATTTGATAAATTAACGTACTTTCTCCATCTTCGTCGTCTAATGGCAAATGAAAACTTTCTTCAGAATCAGAATCTTTTCCACACTCCGACACTGACTTAAACTTGTCAAAAATTTCTAAAGTGGATGATAGTGCTAAGGTTGCTTGAGAGCTGTCACATTGGTCTATTGCTGGCATGTTTATGATTTCTGAAATAAATATAGACACATAAAATTAGTACTAAAATATAATTTTTTTTACAAAAAAAAATAATAGACATTAACAATATATTTGAGAAAATTTTCATTTTTCCCCAAAAATTTCTTAATCTTTAAAACATAAAGAATAATATCAATCGAAATATTAAATTCTATCAATGACATACTTATCATTTAAGTCAAATTTATTCATATAAAAAATGTATTCAATTGGGTTAAAATTTAAATTGCTTGTGTAATCTATAAATCATGAATGGTAAAAAATACAAGCAATACAGGCAAGAGTAACCGAAATTTATCTACATTACAAGTACTGTGAGTGAAAGATTATTAGAAAAATTTATAGTTATATAAAAATATGTATATATAAAAACCGACACACAGTAATATTGTATGCTTAATTTTCATGCATTCGAATTTCCTGCGAAAAACAATATGATGGCACGAAACTCGGACGATAGAATTTCGGACATTTTAATCTGACAACTACTTACTATAAAGTTAGGCTTCTCATGAAAGCGAAAAAGTTAAATAACTACGACTTATTTTCGTCGTCCCAAAAGTTTAGAAAAATCACCATAAAAGGCTTCCATTAAAATGTCAATGTCAAGTGTCATCACTACGATCCGGGGAAAAATCACATATCCCCTGCATGAGGACCATGGAATATTTAGATACGTAAAAACGATAAATTCTAACTTTTCAAAATCTAGGATTAAATTTTTTCGCTAAAAATTTGAAAAAATTGTATACATAAAAACAAGGATTAAGCCGCATTTTAAAACGTAGCCAATTTGGACGTTTTAGTGTGACTAAACTAGAGAGCTATATAGATAAAATTAAGAAATTCGTAACAAATTAGGAAACAACTTGAAAACGGTGCTAACAATTCACATAATGACGGAAAACTATCTGCCAAAAAGTCAGATTAAAGGTTGATTTTCATGCATCCGTTATCCGACGACACGATGATACGATATTAATTTTATTGGTTGAATTTAAAGACTTTGGTTGGTTAGTAACGGTTAACCAATCGAAGCCTTTAAATTCAACCAATAAAATTAATATCGGATCATCGTATCGTCGGACAACGGATGCATGAAAATCAAGCTTAAGCCTGTTAAATTAATATGTGATTTTAATAATTATTTATAATTAATATTAATAAATAATTTAATTTTTTTTTATTTGTTGTTCCGAAATTCAATATATCAGATATAAAAATCTCAGAAATACTAAGAACAAAAAAATCAACCAAGAACAAATAAAAAAATCAAACCATGTACAAAATAAAAACTTAAGAAGAAAGAGAATTTGTCTCTGTCTGTTTGACTGAAGAGTATAATAAAGCAGAGACAAGTTGAAGAGAAAATACTAGGCAATATACAATACTAGGCAAAAGGAAACTAATAACGGCTTAAGTGAAACAGAGGATAACATGTTGTGTTGAAAATAGAACTTGCAATGCTGTAAAATCTTTATCAAAAAATATTTACTGGGCAGAAGAAAACGATGTTTGTATGCAAGATATTTTGCTTTTGAAAGGAGTAAAAGAGAAGGCTGTTGAGGTAGCAAAATCGATAAGTATTTATGCAGAATTTTTTTTTTAAACCAATTAAATTAAATCAATCAGTTCAATTCAAATTAAATATTAATTTCACATAATGCATATACATATAATAAACATTTTTATGTACACTATCGAACTGCAACCTCATATACAATGGCTGGCTCTATCAAACTGTTCAGCATTTCCACATAAGCATCACCAGTCAAATTTCCGTCGATGAAAAATGGACCTATAATTTTATCGCCTAGTATTCCGCACCAAACATTGAGCTTTTGGAGATGTTGGGTGTGTCCTTCAACAATAATATGCGGATTCTCATCGCCCCATTCTCTGCAGTTCTGCTTATTCACATTTCCGTTTAAAAAAAATGAGCACTCATAACTAAAATAAATATTTTAGTGAGTGAAGGTTCCCTTCGAATTTCCTCCGTCAATAGTTCACAGAACTGAATCCTTCTATCTGGATCATCGTCGCCAAGTTCCTGCAGAATCTTCATTTTGTAGGGATGGAATTTGTGCATTTTCAATACTCTTCTAACAGATGTTCGAGGTATACCTGTGATTGATGCCAACTGGCGTGTTGATGCTTCTGGATTGACCGACACCTGACCAATAACTTCCATCTGCATTTCTTCATTCAGTACCTTGGGCCCTGCCCTTTTTTAATTTTTGACCGATCCAGTTTCTTGAAACTTTAGAATCAGATCTCTAACATAAACGTGAGTTACGTTTTTGTCCGGATTTCTTTCATTCAAAGCACGGACCGTTCTCAAATAGGACATACCTTCAGCACCATAAAGAAAAACTATTTGAATTATTTCTTCTACAGTATAAACCATTTTTCTTTGAAATAAGCGAATCAAATAAAGGTTTAAAATACCACCAAATTTGCAAACGATTGAAAATCGGTAGAAGACAGTGCAAAAACGCAAAGATATGCCGTTTTAAGATTCCTGTTTGTTGAAAGTAAAAAAATTAGTTGATAAGGCAGAATTTGCGTTATCGCAAAATTAGGCTGCACGATTAGTAAAACATCTTTGTGTTGCCTTTTTTATTATTTACATTTTTTATTTTTAGCTTCAAAATGGCAATGGTTTCAAAATTACATTGATGAGATTAGAAGTGAGGGGATGGCACCTAGGGGTGGGTCGGGGTGATTTGAAAAATACCTCATTTGCCTCATTTAGCTGGGTCCCAATTTCTAACTTATGCTGAAAAAATCACTTTTTTCATTAATGTCCACCTAATTTTTCGTGTAAGGGGTAGTTTTTCAATTCCACCCTAAAAACTTTATGATCATCGTTTAGCATTTTTCATGGGCTTTCCAAAAAGGCGCCACAAGTGGGGTGTTGCCATTTAAGATTTTCAAGTGAGTAGGGGTGCCGCCTAAGGGGTAGGTCGGGGTGGTTAAAAAAATACGTCATATGTATTCCCCCTCGATATTATAGAAACGGCATTTCTTTTTTTTATATCTTTTTTGGTTAAAAATTTATAGCCATTGTAAGATTTAAGTGGCCCACCCTGTATTTTCAAAAAGACATAATTTTCTCATTAAATATCGATTTTAGATATAGGAAGTGCTTAATAAAACAAAGAGATTAAATAAAGCCTTGTTCGATTACAGTACAAAATACAGGGTGTTCCATTTAAAATAGTGAAGAAAAATACAACATTTAGTTTTGACTCGTCCTGTATATAAATGCAGAATAAAGGTCTTTATATGTACAACTGTGACATACAATTATAGAAAAGAAAAAAGTAAAAAAAGGTGTACAAAAGGGCGAAGTTCAGTTGAGCAGATTAGATATCTGCCCTCTGTTCAACTAACCATACTCTGGGTTCAATCAAACAAGATTGCAAATTTTAGTAGACCAAATTTTGAAGAAGACACTATTATACAGTACTTCCTGTTAATTTTTTTTTTAAATTCTTCGAATTTAGGCTTTAAATAAGCAGTAACTTCACGGTTAATTAAAACGGTTATATTTCACAAACAATTCGGCATAGTACCAATTTGTATATTTGTATATTTAGCATCTTGGTCCACTATATGCGTAAAAAAGTCTTGTTCAATTATAATTAGCTTCACCAGACATGCTCATTTTTGAGAGTGCAACTAAAAATCCGTGAACAAATCAAGTTATACAGAAAACCTGATCTAAATTGAGGTACTTGGGATATACTTAAATGAACTATATCTATTTCCGTGGTAGGCAAGCTAATAATAATTATTCAAGGTCAACGGATAACGTAATTCAACAATAAAGTGAAATTAAGATTACGTCGTATCTATGGAAGTTTTAAATTTAAAAATGTCTAATAGGTATACTAAAGAATACTTTTATACCAGTTAATAAGTGATTAGAACCAGTTTTTACCGCTACCTGTCCAATAATTAACAAAAACAAAGAAGTTCTTTGTAAAATCAAAATGTACTGAACTATACATAAAGAAACTAAATAGTTTCTAATACACCTGGTAGGTAAATAAACCCCTGGAATACTTTTAACTATCAACTGAAAGTACTGCAATTTTATTTCTATACATTTTGGTAAGCAAAAATGTTTTTTAAACAACCGTTTTTTCTAGTCTTTTTACTTGTTCCCTTAAGTTCCGATTCAAGTGACGATGAATGAGTAATGATACTAACCCAAAAGAGAATGAAAAAATATAAATATTTATTCTGTCTAATCTTCTTCAGGCAGATTGCCTGTTCATTCTTCACATCATGCCTCCAGTTTCAATCAATGGTAGAGTTATCACACCATATTTTTCTTCTACTCATCTTTTCCATCATCTACTATTCTTCCCTCATCCATTCGGCTTATATGTTCATTCCATTCGCGTCTTCTGCTCAGTACCCATTCATTAATGCTATCCACTATCCACCTTGCATGTTTGCCTTATGTTGTCGCTTTGTTCTCTATCTAGCAGCGTTTTACCTGTGATTTTACGGAGGATTTTCATCTCGCCTGTTTCCAACAATCTTTTTGTTTTTGCTGTATCCGGTTTGGTTTCTGCTGTATAGCTCATTATGTCTGACGATAGCCTTGTATATTCTTGATTTGACCTCGACACTTATGTATTTATTTTTCCAGATGATGTCGTTCAAACATCCAGCCACTCTCATTGCTTTTGTTGTTTGTTGTCTTACCTCTGTTTTGAAATCGCCATAACCGGATATCTCTATACCGAGATATTTAAATTTCATTTCTTCCTGTATTATTATGTTATCCATGACAATCTTGCATCTGATCAGGTATTTTTGATGTTGTCGGGCTCTTTGTTTTGGATGCAGAATCAAGTTATAATAGTTTGCTACTAGATTGAAGCGATATACTAGTCTTTGGAAGCCGTCCTCATTTTCTGCGAATAGCACAGCGTCGTCGGTTCTAATCGTTCATTTATATTCGATTTTATCC